GAGCTCTCAGATCATACTCGAGGCGAGCTCTTACCGCACCTTGTCCTTTGAGGAGCTAGAGGAGATGAAGAGGGAGTCAAAAGTGCTCAAGATCAGGCTCAAGGGGCTGCAGAAACGTATCGCGCTGGTCAGTCGGATGAGAGATGCCGCAACGCGCCTGTCGGCAACGCCATCCACTTCGGCGAGGCAAGCAGACGAAGATGATGAGCTCGATCAGGACATGCACAAACGCAAGCTTGATGAACTCAGTGATATGCTGGACGCAGTCAGAGAGCGTCAAGCCGAGATTGCGCAGAGACAACTGGAACACATGGTTGCCGTGCTCGCTTTGATCATCCGCAAGCGCGACGCCCAAGACCAGGCAAACAAGTTTCTACCCGCTGATGCATCGTTTAATCTCAACGCGTCTCTATCGTCGCTCGACACCAGTCTCGCGAAAACTCATCGATCTGCCTCTGCCCGTTTCGATGGCCCTCACTTTTTCGCGGGCCATCGGGATGCCTCGCCTGGAGGCGTACCTTCAAGAGACTTGCTGACGACCCCTCAGATGGGATCTCCGAATACGTTCTCGACATATGGTCTCAGTCCTGCGAGGCCGGCCGAGATCAGCAACGGCGGTCCATCGCGTGTCGAACAGCAAGTTCGTATCGAAGAGCTGGAGCTAGAGCTACAACAAGCACGCTCACAGTTGACTCAGCAGCAGCAGAAGCTCGACATAGTTCAAGCAGAGCATCGTACAATCCAGAGCACGGCAGAGCAGACACGCGCAGAACTAGTGCAGGCGCGAGCAGAATCATCGCAGATGAAGGCAGAGCAATTGCCCCAGCCTACATTCGATGATGACAGACAAAAGATTGCCAGCACGTTGCAGCAAGTGTTCAGCAGGCACCAGCAAGGACGAGGAACGCTTGCTCTATCGCTGGGCGAGATACCCCCGCCTCCTGCGGGAGCCAACACGGATCAGCTCACGAGATACATCAGTGAATCTCTCGACACTCATTTCACGACTACGCACGGCCACCTCGAAAAGGTCGAGAATGATCTGGCGCTCGCGCAAGCTAGCTCGGACGGCACGCTAGCATCGCTGCGGAACGAGCTCGCTAAAGCCACGAGCGACCGAGATGCGCGGAGTCGTGAGCTTGCGGACATGCAACAGACCCACAACCAGCAAGGTCAGCGCGCACTCGATCTCGAGGCCCAATTGCGGTCTGCATATGCCGACAAAGGTACCGCTGTCTCGACTGTCGAGAAGCAGCACGAAGCGACGAAGACCAGCCTTGCGAGCCTGACGAAGGAACGCGACTCTCTGACGACGAAGCTACAGGAATCAGAGACGAAGCTAGCAGATGCATTAGCGCGAGAGGAAAGGGCAATCAAGGCTTTGAGCGAAGTGTGGAAAGCGCTACCAGCTAGTGAAGCACGACTCAAAGTCGCCGAGTCAGACGATCTCAAGACTTTCAGAGGTGTCTTCGAGGGTCGGCGTGCGATTGGCGCATTGTTCAACGACCTCACTTCAGGCAATAAATTCTCAGTAGACAGCTTCGTCGAGCGAGTCAACAATCTCTTGGCGGACGACAAGAAGCTCGTTGAGCGCTTGCTGAAGCATGAAGCTTCGCAAGGCGAGCTCAAGGTAAACGCCGATCGTGCACAGAAGTCGCTCGGAGAAGCCTCTGCTTCCGTCGAAGCTCAGAAGGCTCAGGTGCGTTTTGATCTGAGCACAGGGGCTGCGCTGACTCGGCATGAACAGATACGCGATCTCGAAGAACGTCTCGAAGGGACCTCGGCAAAGGAAGTCGGCATGCTCGAAAAGCTCAACGATCTCCAAGCTGACCACGAGAAGATGAGACAAGACAAGCGAAGACTCGAAGCCAATGCTGCAGCTATGGCCACTGTCGCCCAAGACAAGGCGCAGCTCGAGCAAGAGCTCAAGACGCTGCGTGCACAGCCTGATCAGACCGACACAGTCAAACGGCTCGAGCGCGAACTGGCAGAGGCCAACGACGACATTGCGAACCTGCAAGACGAAGTGGACGATCTGAAGAACAACGAGCAGAAGAATCGCGTACAGCTCCTGAACGAGCTCAGCAGTCTACAGAACGAAGCACAGACGCTGCGTTCACAGCTTCGTCAGCTCAAGCGAGCAAAGCCGTGAAATTGCCTTTGTTGTATCGTGACGCGTCATAATAACGTGGTGGAGGGACGTGGTAAACAAAAGGGAGTGCGCTGTGAAGCGAGTGTCTTGCTCACGCCGCATGGCAACGAGGCGCAGTCAGGCAGCATGGTATCCGCCGCCGACAAAGGAGTCCTATCGTGACTTGCTCGTGTTCGAAGAGCGGCTCAAGCAGAATCACGAAAGGCTGAAGGCACAGAAGAGGAGATATGAAGCTTTCCTGCTCGGCATGGTCTCTGCCATCTCTGTACTCTGCTACAAAGTCGTCATCGATCCGAGCCCTTATGCTGCGCTTCACTATCTCTTTGTGGGAGCGCTCCTGATCGGCTGCACCACACTCGTCCTCTTCTTTGCTACCGGCATGTACGGAGAGAAAATAGGCTATGCACGCAAGTCAGTCGATGACTCCCGCGTCAGTCAGTGTCAGAAGCTGACGATCGATCAGGTTTGTACCGCAAGCCAACAGAGCCCTGAGATCGTTCAATATCTACCTCAACACGAGGATAGCGTCGCCCTATTCGCGATGGAGCCTATGGAGGAGATCTCCTGCCATCCAGTCATCCGTCACCTCTCCCACTACTGCCTCTCATCCCGGCGGATCACCCAAGAGGGGGCCAGTCTCGCCACCGAGACCGAGATCGCCTTCTTCACGCACGCCCATTGCGCCCATACCGTTATCGGAGAACCCACGGGGCGAACTCATCTTCTCGAACAAAGTTTCGCCTGCGTTCAGAGAAGGCTATGAACGCTATCGGGGCGAGTGGGAGCGACGGAGGCAGAGCACAGCAAGGCCAAGCTGGATACAACGCTTCTTGCCTCATCCTGTCTCACTCTCGCGCGGCAATACGCCTCCGCCAAATGCCGAGGCGAGCAAGGCCAGAGCGACACCTGTCGCAGACAGAGGTCGAACATTCTCTAGGAGCTCGACGCCGTCTCAGTCACGGCAGTCTTCGCCTGGGAGGATATCACCCAGATCGAGGCGAACGAGTCCTGGCCTGTCGTCTAGCAAAGGGTCTATCAGATCGAGTCCAGAGTCTTCCAGACCTGTGACGCCGGTACAAGAGGGGGCAGAGCTGTCTAGCGATGGCGAATCGAATTTCAAAGGCCGTCCGATGTGGTGAATATCAGTACGAATACGACGAAATGTCCTCAGCCGATATAGAAGGAGACATGGAATTTTCACGAGTCAGTAGCATGGGCTGTTGTGATCGCATTGTACAGATTCCCTGTTCGACATATCGCAACAACATCTTCCGTGTCACGAGATCATGTACTGGTCAGTCAGAATCAGCTGACGCGCGCGAGCTCAGCATTGACCTGTGTCCATTGTCAGTGAAGACCCGGCAAGTCGTCGGCGGACGAACTGCGCTCGTCGTGACCGGATCGGAGAGTGCAGCCCACTACGAGCTCGTCAGTGAGAGACCATGGTCGGCGAGCGAGTTGCCTCACCTGGTCAGCATTGAGAGAGATGCCTTTCTTGCCGGGCAGTACCTTCCCATCCTTCTCGTATGTCTCCCTGATATCGATGAGCGGCTTGCCGTTATAGACGCGCACCGTCACGCGACGAGATCCTGAGAGCTAGAGATGCATCCACGGACTCAGCAAGGATGTAGTGCATGCCATGCGTTGCCACGCACCAGGACATAACCTTCGCCGTCGGTATTGCGTTGCATGGAGGAAGAACTCGCTTTCGCCGATGCACCTTTCTTGGTCTCTTTCTTGGCTTTCGGCTCCTTTGCCTTTGCTTTCGCCTCCTTCTTTGGCTTCTTCTCTGCTACTTTTGCTTTCTTCTTCTTTGGCTTCTCTCCATCCGAATCGGTTGCAGCCTCGCTCGAGCTCTCGTCATCCTTCCGTTGAGCTTGTTCTGCTGCTTTCTGTGCTCGAATGGCCTTGAGGATATCAGAGGAGGAGGAGCGATCGCGAGTCTCTTGCTTCACATCGTTTCGACCGTCATACGAACCATCGGACGCCTGCTCGTCGTCCACGATGAAGCCGTTCATTGCGCAGGCGGGCGTCGTCGATGACACGCCGTGCGCGCGGTACTGAATTGGTCACGTGACGAGATTTGGCGCACGGCCAGCATGGCGCGCGCGCTTCGGCGGGGCATAAAAGGCGGCGCGGAACTGCTTTTAGACTGCGAATGCTTTGCTCATCCAAAGATCGATGCGACAGCCTGATAGCACCGTCTCTGGCAGCCATTGGGTCTGACGATAAACCTGACAAGAGAGTACAGGCTCGAACTGGCGAGCGACTGAGCCTGTCCTCCCACATGCGCTGGAAAGATGTGTCCTTCTAACCTCTCAAAATGCACGAGCTTATGTGAAGGTTGGCAGGCACTCGGGTCTATAGCGTCGCTTCCGACAGGCTGCTCTCGAGTAAAAGTACCCAACAACGATCTGAAGACGCCGACAGGCTCAAAGTCGACAGGGTGTCGAACATGCTACCGAGCAGGGCAGGCATCGAGCCAGCGGCGATCATGTCTAGCTCGAAGAATCTGCCACAATCGTACAATGCCTTCGCAACAGAAAGTCGTCATTCCTCAACGAATCGTCGAACCCTCCTCAAGACCGCGCAACCGCTCCTCAAGATCTGATCAAAGACAGCAGGGGCCTGCCGAGCAAGCTCCTGTTGAAACAGCTTCCCTGCTCATCTGCCTTCTGATCCTAGTCGACCAATGTATGCTTCCTATAGCCGTGTCATAGTGTCTTTGCTATCTCTATCTGGCTTTGCATGCTTTGAGCTTTCTTACGCGAGCGCGTCACTTCAAGCTGAGAACGGGACGTCAACGTCTTCACGTTGCCAACTCATCTCGGACTCTGCTGTGCACTGCATGAGCGCAGCAAGCGGCATCAGTCTCAGCACAGAGAGCTCCCGCAGATGGACTGCGCTTCTGCAGGCGGGCGAGAGCGGACCTCGAGCAGTGCAGGTCAAGATTATCTCTGAGGTGCTTGAATTGACGCACGAACTCGCTGCGCAATCCGATGCACTCGATGACTTTGACCTCTTGCCTGCATGGCTAGGCCAATCGAACGAGCCCGCCTATATCCTCCATCGATTAGATTCGGGCAGCTTCGTCTACATCTCCTTTGTACCTGATGACGCTCCTGTTCGATCCAAAATGTTATACGCTTCCTCCCGAGCGACGTTGCAGCGCCAACTGGGCGATCAGCACTTCACAGACTCGCTTTTTGCTACAAGGCTCGACGAGCTCACGAGTAGTGCTTATCGAGCTCATCTACAAAGTCAATCTGCCGATGCACCTCTGACCGAACGCGAGCGAGAGTCTGCGGACATCAAGAAGATGGAGGGTAGGGAACTGACAGGGACGAGTGCAAGAGGGAGCGCAGGCAAGAAGATGCTCAGCTGGTCTGACGAGGCAATGCGGGCTCTTGAGCAATTTGCGAGCTCGGACGCGCCTACGCTTCATCTCGTGATCGAACTGAAGACGGAAGTGGTGCAAACCGCTCCTCGAGAAGGACTGTCAGCGCTGCAAGACACGCCCTCTTACATCCTGCACCGCCTGAGTAGAGCAAACGAATCGGCCATCGTCGTGTTCATCTATGTCTGCCCTACTGACTCGCCCGTTCGCTCGAGGATGATCTACTCGTCCACTGTAGGCTTCCCTCGGCGGCTTGCGCGACAGTCACTAATGATTGGGTCTGCAGGTCGTAGGCGCAGTGACGACGGCGAATGACGCAGGATGCAATATCGCCAAGAGGCTCGAGACTTCGGACCCCAGCGAGGTCACAGAAGCTTGGATCACTCAGGAGATGGGCTTTGGAACAGACGAGGCAAGCCAGTCTGCTCCTCCGCCGGCGTCGAAGACGATCGTGAGGCCAAAGAGGCCAGGCAAGCGATAGTTCTCTCGGCTCGGCCTGTCTCTATCTGTTGTGACAATTACCATGCTGCACGCTCACGCTCGAGCGAAGGCCAAGGGCCATCGCTGTAAGAGTCCCTTGAGCACCCGTCAGTCGATTGACAGAGCAGACAAATCGACAAGATGTCCAGCAGCGATCTGTGTCCGGTCTATGCGCCCTTCTTTGGCTCGATGGCAAGCCTGTCCCTCTGCCTCTTGCGAGCTCGATAGCTGACGCACTTTATCTGCCTTGCAGGGCTGTACTGCCGCCATTGTCTTCACCTGTACGTACCAGACCTCCCTCGGAAGACCAATCAGCTGACAGACTGCGCTGCCTTCAGGCATCGGAGCGAGGTCCGTGACATGATCGCCTCACCGAGCCTCGAGTGGACTCGCTCATACTCTCGTGTCTGTGTGATAGCTATGGTACATCCAAGTCAGGCGTCGGCATCTCTGCCATGGGCGTCCTACGACCTGATCTCATGATGAAGGTAAATCTGTTCAGCTCGCTATGCACGCCATCGCACTTGACTGATCGCGCGATGATGGTCTAGTGCATCGTACCTGTCGTCATGGCCGGTATCATTGCTGTGGGTCTCCCTTTGCTCTGCATCTCATCGCACGCTGACGACTGTCTTCGTGTCACAGATTTGTATGCCTACTGCTTCGATCCCGTACCTGGCCTGATCGCGTCACCTACAGATGGACTCGTCGTCAGCGTGCTCATTTCCGGCCAAAGTAAGCTCCCTCCGCACCTCGCAAATGCAGACAGCTGATCAGTATCACCAGTCGAATCGCCTATGGCGCTCTACACGGGCTTCATCCAGCTCGGAGCAGGCCTATCGGTCGGATTAGCCGGTCTGAGTGCCGGCTTTGCGATCGGCATCGTCGGAGATGCAGGCGTGCGAGGCACTGCTCAACAGCCAAGGCTATTCGTCGGCATGATCCTCATTCTCAGTGCGTATCGCTGTCTTCTCCAGCTTCGCGCAGGCTCACCACACCCGTTTCACAGTTTTCGCTGAAGTTTTGGGTCTCTACGGTACAGCTCATCTTGGTCTCGCCGTGGCGCTCTGCTCACTACTGCATGTACAGGCCTCATTGTCGCGCTCATCCTCAACACACGCGCGCAAGAGCATCCTCCTGTGAGTGGCAACATCGAGTCCATCTTACTTCAAAATCCTGACCGCGTTTCCGCGTGCAGTGCTAAACACGAATGCCGAGGCATAGAACGCGCGAAAGGCACAGATGAGCCATGTTCCAGCACGTTGCCCCCAAGGGACGAGACATAGCCTTTGTACTCTCCATCCACGTTGATTGAGCAGCCGCCCTGCCTGCAGCCTGTCTTGAGTCTCGTCGCGTCCTTGTTTGTCATCATCATCGTCGTCAGCCGGCAGCCGGCATCTTGGCTCGGCGTCACTCAGCCGTGCATCGCCCTTTCGACCGACTCGCTGCACACTTAGAGCTCATAGACGCACAGCAACATGTCATGGAAGTTGTCCAAAAGTAGGTTGCACTCCCACCCATTATCTGGCCCGTAAGGCTCAATCTTGGCGCGGGCACTGCAGAGCTCAAGGAGGCCAACATCCTCTCTTCAAGCAAGTCGTCAACTCACTCTGCGCCTAGTACCGCCTCGAGCTCGTCGGCCAACAAGCATGCGCCCTCTCCTGCTTCCTCAGTGAGCGGCGGACACGCTTCGCCCCTGCCTGCTGCACCACCCCAAGGCGTCTTACTCATCAGAGTGATCGAGGCGAAGAACCTCAACCTGCCCCAGGGTACAGCGCTACCTTCTGCAATAGAGACTGCGCTACAGACCCAGTCTGCTCATGTTGGCTCGCCTGGCCAAGCGACCAAAAATCGCGAAAGCGTGCAGCGAAAGTCATGCTGGTACTTGCCCTACCTCGTCCTCAGTAGGTCGGCTCGTAGATACTGTAGCTTGAGCTGATGGCGGCCGTGCAGGTTTTGACAAGAACGACATTCTCGTCGACGCCTTGGGCGGACAACTCACCGCACCCACGTGGATGTACAAAGCCCACTTGTCAGTCTTGCATGATCACAGTCAGACTCAGCATATGCTCACACATGCGCTGCAGTGATGTGTCGAGACGATCGGAGGTCGCGCTGTCTGCTTACCTCAGGACCACGCCGGCAGCGTCAGGCGACGATAGAGAGGATATGGGCAACGATATCTTCCTCGGTGGCATCTCCTTCACCCCAACTTTCGACTCAGAGGTCAGTTCGGTCGTGCGCTCAGCTTTTCATACGATTGTTGAGCGTTCGCGTGACTGATAGCACGCTACGGACGCATGGTACAATGCCACTGGCGGATCAGGGCAATTCCACCTGCAAGTCACGTTCAAGCCGACCGGTGTAAGGCTCATCGCGTCTCACTCGATCAGCTGCTTATCCGTCACGATAGAACGAGGGCTTGTCGATCGATGCGTTTGACCTTCTCAAGGTCATCGGCAAGGGTAGCTTTGGCAAAGTCATGCAAGTGCGCAAGAAAGACACCGGACGAATATACGCGCTCAAGACGATCCGCAAAGCTCACATCGTCTCTCGGTCAGAAGTGACGCACACACTCGCAGAACGGACCGTGCTCGCTCAAGTGAACAATCCTTTCATTGTGCCACTCAAGTTCAGCTTTCAGAACCCCGAGAAGCTATACCTCGTCCTCGCTTTCGTCAATGGCGGAGAACTATTCCATCACTTGCAAAGAGAAGGTCGCTTCAACGAAGAACGGAGTCGCTTCTATGCTGCTGAGCTACTGAGCGCTCTTGAGCATCTGCACCAATTCAACGTCATTTATCGGTACGTCTTTCACCTGATTTGCATGACCAAGGCTTACCATCGAGGGGTGCGGCAGTGACTTGAAACCGGAGAACATCTTACTCGACTATACCGGTCACATCTCGCTGTGCGACTTTGGACTCTGCAAGCTCAACATGACTGAATCAGAGACGACAAACAGTGAGCCTCATGGTTGCATCTGGCGATGGCCGCTAATCTGCCTCTTTTCAGCCTTCTGTGGCACGCCAGAATATCTGGCTCCAGAGCTCCTGCTCGGTCATGGCTATACCAAGGTCGTCGATTGGTGGACGCTAGGCGTCTTGCTCTACGAGATGATGACTGGCCTGCCGCCGTTCTACGATGAGGCGAGGCCGACTCGTGTCGGCGCAAAGCAAAGCTGACATAGAATCGGCCCTGCAGAATGTCAATGAGATGTACAAGAAGATCCTGCAAGACCCACTCCGCTTCCCAGAGGATATGCCGAGCGATGCGCGAACACTACTGACTGGCCTGCTCACGCGCGATCCGGCGAGGCGGCTAGGTATCAACGGATCCGAAGAGATCAAGAGGCATCCCTTCTTCGCAAAACACATCGACTGGAAGAGTCTGCTGGCCAAGAAGATCCAGCCACCCTTTAAGCCTAGTGTGGAATCCGCGATCGACTGCAGCAACTTTGACACCGAATTCACTTCCGAGCCGCCCATGGATTCGGTCGTAGAGGACTCTCATCTGTCTCAGACGGCACAGAACCTCTTCAGCGGCTTCACGTATGTTGGCAATGAAAGCCGTATGGATAGTGTCACTGGACGTTCAGTCTACTGATTTATGTCTATAATATGCATCGTGTAACAAGCGCCGATATGCAGCCTGATTGGATGTATGGCTTTAGCCTGTGAAGATTCGCATCGTCTGATATGCCGCCGCGCCTGCAAACCTGACAATGCTCACTGTGTGCGTGATGAGTCCCTATCCAGACTAGCTTGGCAAGAGACATACTTATGGCAACGAGCACCAGGATGACGAGCATGAAGACACGCGTCCGTCCACCGCCGCCTCCGCCTTCAAATGTCTGTACAGGATCGCCACCTAGCACAATTGAGACGAGAAGCCCATTGGCGAGGACCCAAGCGAGCAGTACGCGTGTGCGAACAGATCTATACCAGTCTTCCGTTTCGCGGTCGCGATCGGACTGACTGCTGACTTTTGGTATAACTGCTGGATTTGTGCGTAGGTGATGTAATGCAGTATCGTATGATCCGTCTGCAAGAAAGCGTCAGTAGGGTAGACATGCGCTCGTGTTCAACTGACCTGTGTCTAGCTGCGATTCTGGCATGGTCATCTCGACTGTGCCCGATGAGGATGTCAGGACGGCAGCGCCCAGATCCATCGTGACAGTGTGAGAGTCTTTCGTGCCCCATGAAAAGTCATGAAGATTGGAGAAAGCATAGGTGTTGAGCACGCAAATGTACGATGGAGCCAGCAGGAGATATTGGGTCATACTCGTCACTGCGCTCGCGTCAATAAGTTTTAGCCGAGTGATAAACAAGCATACCCATATGCCACGGGTCAAGAGCGATGAGACTGGCGAGAAACCATGACCCGTACGTGCAGATGAGCGATAGGAGCATTTGCGAGAAGATAGCTCGAGATGCCGAACCCTCTACTGCTTTGACAATGCAGAAGACCGCGCCAACGGCCATATATAGACAGAGCACCGCGAAAATGACCATGACGGCGGTGTAAGACTTTCGCGAGCCTTGTGGACGATTGCCGAGTGCTAGCAAAAAGCAAGCGATCAGTGTGGCCTGGTATAGCTTTTGCGCAATGATGTTGACAAAGACAATGCCCTTGAGGTTGAGTGAAGGTGCTTCGAGTGCAGTCGTCAGTATGATGAAGAACAGGTAATAGAGAGATAGCGACATAAAGGCAAATACAAGCGACAAGACATTGTAGAGCGTCTCGAACATGAGCAGTAATTTGCGCATCTTGCTGTGGTCCGTCTTGAGAAGTCGTGTGAAGTGCAGGATACTGAACACAGCGCAGAAGAAAGCACCGTTGAGCCATCGCCGCCTTTGCGAGATGAATTCGGCGACATCTGTGGGCACATCGGTCTCGCCTTTTGCATTCTTGACGTACTTGAGCACCCAGGCATGACCAGGACTTGCGACGAGTTCCCAGCACAAAATGCGATCTTCGGCTAGATAGCAGTTGCTCGTAAAGGTGTCGGCGTCTTTACCTGCAAGTGTCTCACCCTTGAAGTAGGTCGCAAGCGGGCCGTGACCGAGACCGTCGTTGCGTAAAGCGACGTAACGATACGCCGAGAAGGCGCCTGGTAGAACGGAGATGTAGCCCAGAACCGACTCGAAAGGCTTGTCGAGGATGTTTGACATCCTATCATGCGATCAGCTAGGTACTGACATGCTCGTCTTGGCGCTTACTTGTACTCATAATCCTGAGCCGCAACGAGCGGATTGAGCAGGCCTGATCGGAACTTGCCCTTCATAGTGACAATCTCGCCGCATGCGCCAGCGACATTCGAGTTGCGATCAAACGCTTTCCAGAGGTGGTAGATCGATTTTGGCCCTGGCAATGTGCCAACATCAATCAGGATCGCAATATTGGGATTTAGCTGTTTTGCCACTGCATTGAAAAGCCAGCGATGACTGTTAATCTTCTTCGCGTTGCGCTCTTTGAGCAAAAGCATGACTTGTGTTGGGCAGATGCCCTTCTCGAGTCCTTTGAACTTCATATTCGGATCGATAGACAGTTGAGTCGTATGCTCGTAAAGGTGAGCCGTAACGATTTTTTCGCCAACAGTGTTCTTCGCGATGCCATCTTGGTAGACACCAAGCGCGCTCAGACTGAGCGAAGGTTAAGTACGTATACCACATATCTGATGAAGCCTACCAGTCCAAGACGCGAGGATGGATCTTCTGGCGACCATCTGCGACAATGCAGACTACGATTTTCTTCCAGCCGTCTTTGCCCCAGACTTTCGACTTGTCGCGCGTACATAGATGAGCGATATTCTTCATGATACCGTGCATGGTGCGACAGAAAAGCACCTCATTCTCCGAGTAGACTGTAACGCCGATGAGGATCTCGCATTCTCTCCGTATCGTTGAGGGTCGGAGATTGAAGCATTGCCTTTCGAAATCGTCTGGATCGCAAGTGACTGCTGAATACCTGCTCTCAAATCATGAGCAGCGGGTCGATGCTGATGTTGAGGAGCATACCGAGTGAACAAGAACTCGTCGTCTTCTCGGCGCGGAAGGAAGCTTTCGAGACGCGTTGGGATTCGCAGATCCAGAACGAGATTGCCTTCTGTGAGCTTGATCTCCTTACGTTTCCTCCTGCGACCGGCTTGTAGACCCGGCGTGACGCCATGAGGGTTGCGTCGTTCTTGCGCACCGACAGGAGCTGGACCGTAGTGTCTGCCTTGGGAAGTGTGCGTATCGGCAGACGTCGTCTTCGACAGGACTGATGACATTGGGTCAAATTTGCCATCATCGTCATATAAGGAGGAAGTAGCAGTGAGTGATGAGGTGGCAGAGTCTGTCGTATTGCCACGCCTGAGCTCAGGAACAACAAGAGGTATATGGGTCAGATTAGGCGGCGGATCGTATGCAGGCGCAGGTTCACTGCCTTGCCATGCGCCGGGGTATGGGTGAGTCTCATCTTCTGTTTTGACATGTACAATGTGTGAACGAGCTTGCGGCTCAGGCTCGTGTTGTGCATACGCCGATAACCTTGACCGCGCGACCGGCACAGGAACAGAGTCGTAGCGCAGACTGTACGCTGACCGTATGCGAGCTGTAGTGGGCGAGTCAGGCGCGGGCTCATCATTCAGCAAGGAGGAACGTTCGGTCTCTCGCGCTGTGCCTATCCGTGCCAGAGTTGGCGTTTCAGCGCCGTACTGGTCTTCGCCCGCTTGCCGCAAGCCATCCTCCCGAGTGCTCGGCAGCGGCCGTCTCGCTCGAGAAGGCGTGCTCGGCGAATCCAGCAGAGTCGAGCGGGGCCGATCAGATGAGCTCTGACGCTGTAGGCCGTACGGATCATTTGTGTCCAAGTCGATCATCGACGGATCGAAGCGAGTGGCCGACGGCTGCCATGCCGGAGCCAGCGCACTCGTTGGCCGCTGTCGGGCTGCTGGCGGTGGTGCGGTCTCCTCCTTACGAAAGAACGGCATGTTTGGTCGGCCTAAACGAAATCAAAAGTTACAGCGCAAGAGAGAAGTCACATGTCGCGCCTGTCACCTGATGGTAAATGTCACCATAGCTTCAAGGGCCAGAGCATCCAGCGAGCGTCGATTAGCGGTCATCAAGGAGGTTCAGCATGCAGATTGACGGCGGCAACAGGCGGCACAGTCGTCCTGCATCGCGCGGACGAAGCTATTCAGATGTGGGCGACCTCATACTGGCAAACTACCGAGAAGCTGATGCGTGATGACGGACGCAGAGGAGTGAGCCGAGCAAGGGAGACAGCGACGCTCCTTGGAAGCATGACCTCTTCGATCCCCTTTCAAATCTCTATCAGCCCATACTGCACCAGAGGAGTGGCACCTTCGGCCGAGACAGGCCTGGGCCTGTCAGAAGAGGCGAGCAAGAGGAGGATCTCTTTGCTCGTCCCACTCCAAAGACCGCCAGCGCCAGCTTGAGACCGTTTGGCTCGGCTACACAGACTCCACCTGCACCTTCGCCGTATGCGCGTCCCGCGAGTGCATCGAATGACTCGCGAGCAGCGATGGACAAGAAGCGCAAGGACCTCGACCTTGCCAGACGGAAAGCAGTCGAAGAGGAGGAATATGCCGCCAATCAGGCTGCCAAGCGAGTCGCTACCGCTCAAGTACCAAGCACCGCCCAAGCACCCGGCAGTCTATCCCTGATGGCCAGAGTGCAGCAGTCACTCTTTGAGCGAATGGGCATGCAAGACCCAAACCCCAAACCGCAAAATCGACCTGCGCGCGCTCGTGCCGAACAGGCCAACCGATCGCAAGACGTTCAAGAGGGCAACAGTATGGATGTGGACATGGTCATCTCACCTGCGCCTGTGCCCAGATCAGCAACAACGAGCAGAAAGCCCGCACTCGGACCTGCGACCGTGTTGATAAGGCACCTCGTCGACGGAACAACGGCAGAGGACATCAAGACCGCCTTCTCAGACTATGGCACCATACTGAGCAGCAAGATACTCAATCCCGGCTCGCCGGACTTGGATGCAGAAGTCATCTTCAAGCTCAGAGTTCACGCAGAGACTGCTGCCAGCGCTCTAGAGTACGTCTTTCGATCGCATGCTCACTTGATGCTGAGTCTCTCGTCATCACAGTGGAGCGATAGCAGACGGCAAGCGGTTGAGCGTGACTGTGCAGCGACCCCCACAGCTAGCGCCCTCGCCAAAGACGCTTGCGATACAACGTCCGCAGAACGGTGCCAAACCGCAAACACCCATCGCACCTGTAATCGCTGCTCGCGAGCTTCTTTCTCAACCGCCTAGGTAGGCTTGTCTTCGTCTATCACAGGAAACGTTTCTAAGACATGTTTGTAGTCGACTACGCTCCGACGCGATACTCGCTCTCGACCCTCGCGCATCTCGTGTGACGCAGCCGATAGCTGAACCAGACCCTCAGGCAGACGACGTCATGGCGATCGAGATGGACGGTGATGACGCTGTTCGACCCGCTTCAGAAGTGCGGCGCGGGCGAGGTGGTCGCAGAGGCAGAGGAAGGGGAAGACATGAAGGCAGCTTCCACAATGACTCGGCGAACAACGTCGCTTCGAAGGATCTCAGAAGTCGACTCGGCTTCTGATTGCCCGCCCTGTGGCTCCGTGTATCGGTACATGCAATCATTGGCAGCAGATTGCAACCCTAGCGTGCACGAGCGTGTTCTGGTGGCGGCCTAGCCGATGAATCTCTGCGGTTTGGCTCATGGTATCCAATCGGAGCTGCGTCTCACGGCGCCCGCTTTGACAAGCGTCACTACTGCAGCTCATGTTAGTCACTATCGCCGAGCTAGGCAACTGCGCGTTCGATACAACAGACAGCGATCTTGCCTACTGCCGTACTGAGGCCTCTTTGAAATGGCTTCGTCCAACAAGACGGAGGACGCCCTGATGACGAGCAATCAAACAGACAGACACAGCAGAGCAATCGGTAGCTGACAGCGACTTGCGTCTGTTCGTGGCGCAACCCCGCTTAGCTCCTGCGATCTTATCCCGTAGCGCAAAGTATTGCGGCATGAGCTTCAAAGTCTGGCGGCCGGGACATTTGCGCCTGTGTGATCGGTGTGGCCGGGCGGACTGCCCAAGCTTCGACCGGAGTGCTTCGTGCTCGATGTGTGCGTTGGCAATCCGGTTCGACTCTGGCTCATGCATTGCGTCGCTCAGATTACACGGACTCAAGGAGGGGATGAGGCGAATTGCACTCGCTGCTGCTCTTGATCGCGTTGTCCGCTTGTCGCAATGAGGTCGCGCCAGTCTGTGAGCGCATCGAGGGGCCCGTGCCGAATGAAGTGTCCTTGCAAGGCAGCCATACTGATCTTGGCTCCGTCTGTGATGAGCTGTTCGACTTGCTCGCGCGCTCGGGTGAGATCTTCGGAGCTGACATCTGGATGATCGCGGTAGAATCGACTGTACAGCTCGCCAGCTTGGTAAGAGGTCGCATCGTCCAGCAGCTCCAGGAGGTCTACTCTGCCCGGTCGTATGAGGGCAGGGTCTAGCAGTTCGACATGATTGGTCGTCATGAACATGATACGCTGAGCCGATGAGCTTGCAACGCCGTCGAGCGCGTTCAATAGTCCAGAGAAAGTGACATTGCCTCTGAAGCCGCCTTCTGCGGTCTGATCGCGGCCGGCAAAAGCAGCATCGATATCTTCAAGTAGCAGGATGCTACGCTCAGGCGCGTTCGCAAGCAGATGGTTGAGCTTGTCGTCGGTCAAGCCTCGCTCGGACAGGTTGAGGACGCAGATGTTATAGTCCAAACTACCGGCAAGTGCAGTAATGAAGGAGCTCTTGCCAGAGCCTGGCGGTCCATGGAGCAAGTAGCCACGCCGATACGGTATGCCTGCGCCGCGAGTTCAGCGATATGCGGGAATTGCTGTGATGTGAAGCGCACCTCGTTCAGCATACCACGTCCCGCGAGCCATAAAGTCGGTGACGTCGTCGACGATGCGCTCTTTCGTGCCTTGATCGAGCACGACGCTGTCCAGCAACCGCCGAGCTCTAGGCTGTCCGAAAGGTCGCCACTCTGGGCCCCAAGCAGTGTAGATGACGGTCTTGCCGACTTGCGCGGCTTTTGCGAGCTCACGCGCTTCTGTGAGCATGACAGAAAACAGCGGTCGATCTCGGGACAGCGTGACGAGGGTGACTGTCTCCCAGGGCGTGCCAGAAGTGAGGTCCATCATTTTGCCATCCCTTTCGCGCTTGATCTACTGCCGGTCTCGTCATCTCTACATCATGACGGGAGAAACGAGGCTTACCTGAAACCAGGCACTTCGCCATCGCAGGTAGTGTGTGCCCGGCCCAGGCACGAGCGTGAAGCTCGTCTCTGCGCCACCGTCACCTCTCGTCTCTTGCGAAGTCTCGACAGCAAGCTGATGACTGTTGAACCGAGTCGCTTGTGCTAGCGCGCTGGGCGAAGTTTGGGCGTCCATCCATTTGAGGAACCAGAGATACGCGGGATCTTTGGAGGAGATCTCGAGTGAGACGAGCATCCTTCGTCTTGCCATCGTCGCTGCCTGGACCATCCCTTTGCGTGCCACAGCAAGCACTGCGCCGACACCCTACGCTCTTGCGTAAGTATTCGAGGGTGCAGAGGCTTCTGGCGAGTGCTGACCATGAGTCCAAAGCCAGCAGAGAAATAGGGGCTGGCACAAAGATGCCACATCAGCATCTTGTGTCTCTCTGCTGAACACGCTGACCTGACTTTTCTGCGAGAAGACCGGCTGCCCATCCTCTGTCACGAGCAGGAGCTCCTTCGATGATCCCTTCTGAGCCTGACGGAGACGGGGGCATGGATGCAGCTTCCGAGTGAGATGGCGGGGAAGGACTCGGCTGGGCATGTTGCGGCCGGGTGGGCAGCTTGAACATGCCTCCTCTGGCCGGTCCAGTGATCGACGATCGAGCGTAGCAACACAAACGGCGCGTCGTCTGCTCGCCTCGACGTCTCGACGACGAGTTCGCTGCTCGGTAGGCGCTCAGGCAGACTGTCAGCTGTCGAGCGCCGAGCATGGACAGCCTCAGTCGGTTCTATACCGGCTTGAGAGGTCCTGCAGGTCAGCCGCAGTCTGCAGAGACGACCATCGACAAGCTATGCGACCGTCTCGCCAACTCGACCGTACCTGAGGACAGGAGGGCCGCTCTGCTCGGTCTCAAGGGTCTCAGCAGGGACTGGAAGGCTGTCAGTCCTCGCTCGCTCTGCAAAAGTACAACACGCTGAGCGTCAAGTCGGTCTGACAGGAAGTAGGAACGTCTGCCATACCCATCCTACTCGACGTGCTGCAACGGGAAGCCTTTGAGGATAACGAGACAGGCAAGGCAGTCCTCGAGACGCTCAACATTCTCTGCGAGGAAGATGAGGCCGCCAACACTTCTGCTGGTCGCGTAAGCCCTGCATCGCCTGCCGACGGTGTCATCGCCATCGCTGAGACGCGTCAGACAGTACGCAAGAGAGCATGGTCCGGGAGCGCGCAACAGCGAGCGGTTCCTCTCTGATGAGCGACCGATGCATGCTCTCATCGCTCTGCTCAGGTCACAGCATTTCTATGTTCGCTACTTCTCGCTACAGCTGTTTGGAACACTGCTGGGCAACAAGGCCGAAGCAGTACAGAAATATGTACTCACTGCGCCCGGAGGACTCGGCAGACTCGTGGAGATATTGGAAGACAAGCGGGAGATCGTACGCAATGGTGCGGCTCCATCGTGGCAGACGGGATCGCGGCTAAACACAATTCGCAGAGGGACTGCTCCTCATCATCTCGCTTTCCTCTACGAATGCAGACATACAGAAGATCATTTCCTTCGAAGGCGCATTCGACAAGCTCTTCGCCATCATCGATAGAGAAGGCGGCATTGCTGCCGGCGGCATCGTCGTGCAAGATTGCTTGGCTGCCATCGTCGGCCTCCTGCGATACAATGTTTCTAATCAGGTCAGCAATCGCTTGCTGTCTCGCTCTGCATGCTCACATCCCCGGAGAACTACTTCCGCGAGACTTCTTGCATCCAGCTCATTGCGCCTCTGCTCCTCTTCCCGCCACCCAACGTCCTCGCAACTCCAGACTCCTCCGAAGCGCAGCAAGCGCTAGCCGCCTTTGCCATGCAGCTCTGGAGCGAGCAGAAGATCACCAATGCGCAACATGTACTCACCCTCGTCGGCTTGCTCGTGGGAGGAGCCGGTGAAGGCCGAGCGGCCAATCAAAAAGCCATGCATCAGTCCGGTCTCACCCACTGTCTTGCTGAGCTCGCGCTGGCTTCCAATGCGCCGAGCGACATCAAAGCGCACTCTCTGCTCGCACTCGCAGATGTCATACGCAGCTCGCCACAGAATCAAGACCTCATCTCTGAGCTCTTCGTCTCACCTTTGATACCCGTTCCGCCGACGTTCATCGAGCCGGGCACAAACCCAGAATTTGCAGAGCCAGAATGGCTCAGAGCAGAGCCTGTGCTCGCCACGCTTGCCCTTGTCGCGCTTGCGATAGAAGGCGATCCCGGTCTGCCCGGCAATGCATCTCTCGGACGAGAGGGCCTCCGCGTCAGGGCAGCAGCGACATCTGCCTTTGAGGTACGAACGGCGCCCTCTGCGCCTGCAATGCGCAAGCTGACAGCGTGCCGCTCGGGTGCAGGCTTATGTATACGGAAACCCAGAGGCGCAATTAGCAGTCGCATCCGGGATGGCGCCGACACCGATGAGCAATGGCAAAGAAGTCGATCCTCCACCTGCCACAGCCGGAGCTGTTCTGCTCTCTGGCTTGCGCACCATACCCGTCGTCTCTCCCGGCATTCCCTTCGATTCTCACGGACCGGTCTTCTCAGCTCTCATCTTTGGACACCTCGTACGCAATACGGAGAGCTGCAAGCGGCTAGCTCGAGAGATTTCGTTAGGCGAAGAAGGCACGGATGACAGAGTTTCACTCATCCATCACATTGTAGGCAACCTCATGATGGCCCAGAGGGAACAATCGCAAGGCTCGACCAGTGCAGAAGGTGCTGCTCTGGCTGTGGAATGGTCCCGCGTCATGGTGGCCTACCTCGTCACGCTCTGTGTCTGGTGTTGGGAGAGTCCCAAATCAGTCAGAGAGTTCCTCGACGAAGGTGCCAACTTACAAGTGGTCAGCTGACTTGTCGTGAGCTGCGTGTATCTCGGCTTACCGAGCAATCTGCTGGCTGACAGCTCATCCAACCCATTACTCAAGCATCTGGCGTCGATCCCGTCGTACAGGGCCTCTGTGCATTTCTGCTCGGCATCTTGTACGAGTACAACAGAGAGCCAGGCGATATCACGAGGTATAGCATCGACAGATCTCTGCTGGACTGCGAGCTAATGCAAGCATACAGAGCAAAGCTGCAGCCGATATTGAACAGCCGCGTTGGTCCAGATCAGTTCGTTAGCAGAATACTGCGTCTGCGAGAAGATCCACGCTTCAAGAACGTCGGGCCAGATGTTATGGAGATCCGTGGCGAAGGTCTTGACGATCAATATGCGCTCGAAGAAGGCATATGGTTCGACTGGGCCTTCATCGAGTTCCTGAAGAATAATTATTGTAAGCTGTCGATCCTCGCGTCATCAGCGCACGCTGATCATTCTATAGTGCCAGTTCAAAGAGCAATACTGCAAGACCCGGGGTCTGCAGCCGGTGCACGTAAGGGACCGCGAAGCCGTATTGAATTAGCTGAATCTTTCCTCACGCAGGACCTCTAGGGGACTCTGCAGAAGCAGAAGAGATGGTCAGCAACTTACGATCTACAATTGCGACTCAGAATAAAGATCTCGATGCGCTGCAAGACAAGCTCGCCACGACGGAAGCAGATCACGAGGAAGAGCGTAAAGCACTGGGGCGGGAGCTCATATCGCACCGCGAACAGCTCGAGGCTGCGCGGTCACAGATAAAGGCTTTCGACGAGCATGTTGCTCAGTTGGAGGCCGCAGCGAGAGCGGTCGAAGAGGAAGCTGTTCAGCTGCGGGAAGAGTTAGCGCAAGCACAGAGCAAGAGTCACGCCCTCGAAGCGGATGTCAGAGACCTCACTACGGCGAAAGAGGAAGCGGAGAAGGAACAAGAGGATTTGCTCGTTCTGCTTGAGGATCTCAGCAACAAAAGGCGAGAAGACAAGGCAAGGATGCGCCAGGCGCAGCTCGAGGTGTCCGATGACGAAGAAGAGCTCGAGCCTCAGGAGGAGCAACCGGAAAGCTAATGAAAGTCACGACGGCCTGATGAGCCTTGTAATCAATGGCTGTACATGATCACTGCACGCCGCTAATCGCTCAGCTCTTCGATGAGAGACGCATCGCCGTTGAGTGCAGCAAGTTTGGCTGCCGTCTTGGCCGGTGTGGGGAACGCTTGATCGCGCCTCTTCTGCGGTATACGACCTGTTGAAGGTACTTTGGGACGCATGGGCTTGAACCTGACGTCAGAAGCAGCATCATCGATAAGTTTGAGCTCTGTGCGTAGTCGGGCGCGGTAGACTGGCTGCATCAGACCAATCTGAAGCTCGATAGCATCTGCTGTCAGAGGCACAAATGGGACGGGTTCATCGTCCTCTTCCGCGTCACCATTGACATGCCTGAAGACAGCCAAATTTATTAGCCTGATGAGAGCAATCAGAATATACGTGACTGACTCTGCTTCTTCCTTCTTCATAATGACTGGCTTCTTCTCGCCTGTAAACAGCCTCTTGGGGATCTTGAAAGAAGACATGCCGAGCTCCTGGTCGAGTCCAAGCTCTTTGAGACCGAAGAAGTCTTCGCCGAGCTCTGCCGCGTATTGACCCATAGCGATCGCTTCGCCGTCTCCAGCAAGCATGTCTGTATCGTCCACGCATTGCTCTCTGGGCTCATTGAGCATATCGTTGCGCGCTTGCTCGAGCTTCTTCTGGAGCTCGAGCATTCGGCCGCCTTGCTTAATCAGATCTTCCGAAATATACTCTTCAAGCGCTGCACTCGATGCGATGCCGTTCGTGCGCATAACTTGGCCAAGTATTGACTGCTTGCCTCATCAGACAGGCAGCAAATTGGAAGCGATGTGCACATACCAGTGGCGAGAGTGCACGACCATACCGATCACAGAAGAGACGCAGCGTCCGGCCGACATTGTTCATGTACTCAATGATGACACTCATGAGCATGTCGAGTGCGCTTGCAGCGCAACCTGCTCTGCTAGTCAGACACGCCAACGTGATCCACCGCAAGCGTACCATCAAAGCCTGCATGACTGAGCATCTTGGCGCAAATCTTCCGCAGCACGGCGATGTCGATCGCTGGCGTGAGAGCGCTTTCTAAGATGTCCAAGCGCGGCACGTCATTTATATAGGCAGGCTCGTCTATTTGCATAAAGTCGTCGTCTTTTGAATCATCGAGGCCCTCTTGATCAACCGAGCTGTGTATGGATTGCGTGACAATCTGCCGATGTAGATTTTTGACATGCTTGAGTGTGCTCAGGTTACGATCGAGATGAGCTTCTAAGCCTGTCGTTGGCTCTACTGACCGCGTCTTCTGATGCTTCCGCGGTGAAATCTCTTCTGGCGCAATAGAGTTGACGAATGGCAGCTCGGGTATACTGGATGTCGTGAAAGCATCTGCCGCCATCTGCTCCCAGTAGAAGCGATCGACGTCTTCTGGACCGGCTGTGATGCTTTGCACTCGCGCTATCGCTTCGTTCTTCATGTCGACCGCGTAAGTATCGAGCGTGACACTGGAGGTCGACGCAGTAGGGCGCATGGCCGTGCTCGAGGCAGCCTGAGACGTCTCGACTGCACTGGAACCGAGATAGTATGACTGGAAGCGAGACATGCTTTCTGGGGTTCGAACGACAGCAGGCTTCTCTTCAAATGGCAACTCTGCCCGGCCGAGCTTGCGCTTGTTGAGCTGTCGCAGAGAATCAGAGCAGGCTCATACATGTAGCATGAGACCGCTCACAGATTGTCTCGGCCTGTTCCTCGCATGTAGCAGATTGTCTTGTCCACTGACGCTCGGAGTGCCGTCTCGCACTTCTGCAGGCGTACCAGTAGAAGCGGAAGCAGTCTCGAGCGTCTTTGCGCCAGTCTCGGCCTGCCCATCTGCACCTTTCCGACTGCCCAAACCTTTCCTTGTGGCAATCGTATCATCCTCGTCGCCATCTTCGGATTCACCCTCTGCATCCTCATCGACAAGTCGCGCATTGGCGGCAGGCGTATTGTCTGATATAAACTCGAGCAACTGGTTCGACTTTTGCCGCAGTAGCTGAGCAGATCTTCGGAGAGGATGAGTCTGTCATACAGGCCGACCTCTGTGTGAGTTCGAGCCACAGAAAGGTACGACGACGGACAGGTAGTGAGTTATAGAGCAGGCAATTGTTCCATATCAGATTGAGATCGTCGGCGAAAGCTTGCTTATCCTTGTACTGCTGTCCCTTGACCTTCTTGAGTATAGTGCCGAGGTCCATGGGCTTCTTGATGACTGCCAGCGCCCACTAAGAGCCAGCAAGCTTGTCAACGCGTCAACGCGTACCGTTGTAATAATCTGGTGCCTCTGCCTTGCGGACTCGTTGTAGGAACGGCGTGGAATGTTCCTGCCACACTGTATGAGATTGTTTGTAGATAGCAATGCCGGGCGAGCGTACAGTCCATGCTCTGAGCTCGTTGACGATGCGTTCGAGCGTCTCATAGAATTCCTGAGAGCTCGTCTTGTCATCCTGCGTGACGTTTCAGCATGGCGCGCAGAGCCGAGAGTCGGGGACGTACGACTCCATCTCTGGCTTCGGCGACGAGCTGCTTGAGCTCGTAGGCAGAACGAGCCCCCCTGCCGTGCGATCGACTATAGTTGTCGATTGCCTCGAGCAAGTACTGTTCGTCATGACGCAAGAGTCAGTGCACTGTGCGTGAAAGTCTCGCCAGGGAGCGACAGGCGACACTACCTTCATCCTGAGGGCGGCAAGCCCAGCCTAGAGCCGTTCAGCAGTCGCTCGCTGGTGTGTTTCAAAAGCTTTGACGGGCTCCTTGCTATTTGTTCCTTCGCGCGTACGAAGAGGAAGCCAGGCGGCGCCGCCGAGTGTGAATGCAACACTTGCGCAAGGCTGTCGATGATGGGAGACCTGACTACCGCGAAGGTATGCCGAATCTCGCGTGTGATCAGGCAAGCTGACTGGCCAGCGCAGAGGACGGTCTGCGCAAGGTAGTGCCATACGCTTACACTTTCCAAACCTACGTCAAGCAACGATGGAAAGGCCGCAAGATCCTCGAAATCTTTTCTACCGAGTTCAGAGACCGTAGTCCTGCCTACTATGCTTTCGCGCTCGAGCAAGGCGTCGTGAGAGTCAACGATGGCGTCATCGGCCCTGACTTTGTCCTCGTCGACGGACAGCTCATCAGCAATGTCATCCATCGTCACGAACCTCCCGTCGCTGCTGGGCCCATACAGATCCTCGCTCGAGATGATGTGCGAGGCATACTCGTTGTCGTCAAGCCTGGCAGCATGCCCGTTCATCCTACAGGCCGCTACAACCACAACACGCTCCTGCATATCTTAAAGTACGAGCACGGTTTTGAAGGTGTCTACAGTACGCAACTCATTCAGAAGGAGTTCATGACAGCAATTGATGACTCCGAGCGTCTTCAGCGAACAATCGGCTCGATCGACTGACGAGCGGTGTCATGGTCTGTGGCATGACGCCTAAAGCCATGTCCAGGCTCGGCGAACTATTTGGCACAGAAGGCGCAGTTAGGAAGTACTACGTCTGTCGCGTCGTGGGCTGCTTCCCAGAGTACGCAGACCAATTTGCGTCTCGGGTCCGAGCTGATGCGACGTGCAGGGAGCAAGTCATCAGCGAGGAGCCGCTACTTTGCATAGATCGTCAGATGCAAGCGAATATCTCACCTGGCTTAACTGTGTCTGATTACTCCATCGCATTGCAGTGGTATCAGCGTCGTTCATCCAGAAGGTCGTCCCTCAAAGACAATCTTTCAGCGGCTCTCGTACCACGCTGGCACTGACACCTCTGTCTTGCATTGTCAACCTGTGACCGGGCGCAGCCACCAAATTCGAGTACACTTGCAATACATGGGGTTTCCCATCGCAAACGATCCAGTCTACAATAGTACGACAGCATGGGGCAAAGGTAACGGCAAGGGCGGTGTGTTTATAGATGCTAGCAACTTGGGCAAAGCGCCTACCATGCAGACCGCTATCGAACAATCGATCGCTTCTCACAAGGATCAGCAGGAGCAAAATGGGCGCAAGACCAAGCGAGATATGCCCGGTCGACCGCCGCCCAAGGAAGGCGGCGAAGAGCCCGGTTATGGATCAGGCGTGGATCTATCGGCTGAAGCCAGGCATGCAATCATCACCTTGCGAAAGCACAAAGACATGGACGACCGGTTCGCGAGGGAGCGTGACATGACGCTTGCGCCTAGTCGAGGTTTCGTATCGAACGACAACGACCTGACAAAGGATGTGCTACACGATGCAGACGGACCGTACTGCGTACGGTGTCACCTGCCACTGCTGCCCGATCCGCGACCAGATCAGCTGTTCATTTGGCTCCACGCCTTACGCTACTCTTCCGAAGATTGGGATTACTCGAGCGAGCTGCCCACTTGGGCTAGGGAAGACTGGCAGCCTGATGCTAACACCAGCAAACACGTGACTGGAGGCAGCCAAAATGAGTAGATGCATCGAGCCGCCAAATTGTTGTTGTCATTCTTCTGCAGATCTTCTTGGATCAGGTTCGCTTTCGCTCAGTCACTTGATAGATTCGAGGTCGTCATACTCTCTTGA